GACGGAGATACATAATTTGATTGGTCGGAGTAGAAAATGAGATTATTTCTAGAGGATGAATCAATTAAGCAAGGATTTCAAAATTACACACAGTAATATGTTAAAAAATGAGAAGGGTATAGAAACAAGGGATTAAAACTGTGAAGTCTATAAAAACGAAATAGAAAAGAAAAAAGCCGTTTCTTGCAGCGACAGTTAGGAATATTGAGCCTGGCGTTGGAGAATTTGACTGGGATGGAGGAATGAAGAGAGCAGGCTTGAGAGTGCGTAGGTGTCATTGTATAGTTGCAGGCGTCTGATGAGAAATGTTCACGAGTTTGGATTTATCTATATTTTACGCTTAGCTAAAAGGGACGCTGAAAATTTCTCAATCGAACCAAAAAGCTCTTCCAAAAGTAATCGTGACGTTTGATCGCTTAGTCAGATTTGGGGATGTGGGTCGGGTAAATAACTTTTTAGTATATTCTCATATATTTGCATCTATGTGGACGCGCATTTATTGTAGTTAGTTCATACTTTTTATAGCTTTCTATTTATTCCAATTGAATAAAGTATATTAAAGAAAGTTCTTTCTCTGACTCTCCCCGAACGCTAGCAGTATGTCATCGCTTTCATTTATCTATTCATTTTCTTGTTTTTAAAATGTATTCCTGTAATATTTCAAAAAATTTACCAACTAAGTTTATTCTTATATTATCTAGGAAAATATTTATTTAGATATACCAGAAATACCCGTAAAAATTTCCGTTTTCCTCTTTGCATTTTCTGTTGAATTTTAATTCTTAAGTTAATGATTGAATAAACTCATAGCGAGTTCTACGACAATAAAATATCCATAGAAATTCCCCTGTCGCATCTCTGTTTAAGATTAACAACTTTAACAAAATATTACAATAACAAACATAAACGATTGTCCTTATTTTAAGAAGTAAGGGGGTACAAATGAAAAGATTAGAAATTGTCAACTCTATTTCACTGAAACAGATGTTAAACACATGAAAATGTTATCTCTTTTTTTATCTCTTCTTTCTTTTTTCTTTCTTTCATTTTCTCACTGAAACCAAGTAGCGTTTCTGATATGTCTTTTTGTATTTTCACGCTGTCAAAACGGAATAGTCTATTATTGATGAGTTATTGGTAAGGCATAACGTACGTGCTAACTAAGGAACTAAAGAAGGAAGAAGCAAAATTATATTGTGATTTGTACTAAGAAACTTTTAAAAGAAAAACTATTTAAAATTTACCATAAAAATTTAGCACTTAGCTCTCAATCAATTTCTCGGTTAATTATTCATTTTCATAATCTATTCTTAAATTGCAATAAAGGCATAACGTATAATGACACCGCGTGTTCAAGTACTTTTCATCTCAAAATTTATATGCATAAATATGTATCACCGTGACGCAAACATTTTAAAAAATGTATAATTTTGAGCTAAAAAACAATGAACGAAAATTCCACAATTTTATTCTGCCTTTAACACAAAGGAAAAAGACTATCGATAAAAAAATCTGCAGTAATTATAAAAATATTAGTTATTGATATTTTATAGAAGCATTTCAGTGACCAGTTTCATGAAAAGATAGCCGGAATCGCTTCCTAATGTTAAGCAGCAAGCAAAAAGATTAAACAAATGTGTCAAAAACACGGACCACTCCCTCGCTTTCAAGAAGTTTTAATTTGTCCAG